CACATTATTTTTTCAATGTTGTACTTTTGTAGTGTTGAGTGTAATTTTGGATGTATGTATGTTGAAGCTTCCAAGATTTTTTGAAGAGTGTATTTTACAAGGAGATTCCTTTAAATCTTCATTTTTCTTGGTAAAGGTTGTTGTAATGCTGTAGATTTGTTAAAAACGATTAGAATTCAATAAAAAATATAAGTTAAACACATTTGTTATTTATTCATGGATTTAAATATTATTTAGATTTTCAAAGGTATTCGGTGCTTACATTAAATAATCCGTAAATGTTCAAATGTTCACAGTGCCGAGTTTGACTTTTTTCAGTCCTCCTCTTCATATGGATAAAAAAAATTGTCAAAAGGAAAGCGAACAGTGCTAGTGTATATTTAAAATCCAACTGTCCTTCGACATTACGTAATCGCGCCAAAGGCGCTAAAATTAATAGTGCGCTAAATATTCTCGTTTATCATTATTTCTCTATAAACAACTTAATGACGTGCATGTATACTGTACCAAAATGAAGATCATATGTGTTGAATATTTTCAAGGGGTCCACTGTAAGTCTGTAGTCTAATTTTCAAGAATTTCATGTTCTGAGTTTCTTTTTAAGTTGCTTTGTTGGATTGGTAGAGTGTTTATTGTTTGCTTTATATTTTATTTAAATGAAGTTATAAGTGTTCATACCTGGAAAATGCATACGAAGTTCATTGCTAAATTATTAGTTGATAAGTATGATATATATTTTCTTTCATCAAATGAAAAAGTTGGTACGGATAAAAGTTACAAGAAAAAGAAATGCCTATCGTCCAAAAGTAATAAAAACAGAAATTTCAAGAGAGTGTTGTTCTTTTTAAACAAAATTCGAATACTAGTAACCTAATGAAATACCGTTACAGAACAAACCAAAAAATAAATATATTTTCATAGGTTTGCTTCAGGTATCACACCGGTAATTGTTTTCACTATATAATTCTATATAGCATAAAAAATCGTTAAAAATCAGGTATTTGTTTACATGAAAAAATATTTAGCAGGAGGTGTTAAACATTACCTGTCACATTAGCTGACACCAAAAAACAGGGTACCCACACGGCATTTTCGGACTTTTTCCATCTGCAAACAGGGCTACCCTCAAATCCACGTGTTTTCACTTTGTTTATAAACACCTTGAGTGCATCACAGGAAGTAGCCTCCTATGCCCTGAAAAAAATAGTTCCTGTCAAAACCTTTATTTATTCACAAAGTACATAAAATTTACTAGGCACAGGTACCAAAGTTGTAAAAATGGCTTGGAAGAAAATAGAAAAACGCCTCAAAAGAAAAGAAAAATAATTTTATATGTATGGACCTACATTTGACTAAGTTCATTTTGATTGGTCAATTACAGGTGTGATACCTTGAAGGACCTTTGAAGGTGTTCGACTTTTTTCATTTTTGCACCTGAGATTTATTAAATAATTGTCCCCAACATCCTCAAGTCTGGTGATCTAAATCCCCTTATTTCTGAAGATATGAAGCATTTTTCTCCCTTACTCCAGAGCAGTCAAGAATAACACACAGCACTCTGGAAGCAGTTTTTTGTGCATCTTTTGAAGCACAATTTCATCATTAAAAGAATAAGCTTGGCAACCAATTTTTTATCTGTGGAGAGTATATGCTTTGTTCTTCACAACAAACAAAAAAGAGGTTACAAGTCTAAGACCATTATGTAATTATTACATAACAAAGTTGCATTTTCCCCTTCAAAGAATGAACAAAAATACAGATATTGTTAAATACTGGGTTGATAATGAAAACTGTATCTGGTCAATTTATGTTCCAAATAAAGCCTAGGTATTTGTCTTCAAGCTGCTGTGCAGAAGTTTATCTAAATGCTGTGTTGTAACTCAGGACAGTCTAAATGATATCAGCATCTAGGAGGTTCTTGACAGCTCCCACACTCCAATAAACTGGCTTTGATGATAAGAAAATGGAGACAACAATTCAGATGTAATTTATTGTTGTGATTTATGTAACTGGCTTTCTCTTAAGACACAAAGTAGCCATGAAATTTCAATTTAACAGGCATAATTAGTCTCTTTTCATGGATTTACTCAGGAATTCCAAAGGTGTTTAATGAATTTCCATGATTTATGCAAGATTACATCTTTTTGTTTCACCAAATTTACATAAAAAATAAAAATTCAAATTTTAAAATATAAATATTAAACATTTTTATGGGTTTGAACACTTTTATATGTGACAAAATGCATCACAGAGACCAGTTTCAGGACATCCTCCATGATTCTTTGAGGGGGGTGGGTGTACAAAAACTGCTGATAAAATTTATAGGAGGTGATCTGAGAAGAAAGGTGCACCTTATTAGCTGAATTATAGTTATTCTGATATTCTAATTATGTAAATATGCCAAATTTCTTCATCAGTTAAATTTGCAATTTATTAATATTTCAGTACAATGATATCCTTAATAGATCATGCTCATATAAGCATCACTGACTGAGACTTAAATCAAAAGTGACAGTCAACACCTACATGTAAATGAAAAAATAACAAAAAACAGTATCCGACAAACTGAAAAAACATGAATGTCAGCTGCGAAAGCGTGAATAAAGTCCTGAGAACCACAAGAGGCATGCCATGGTGCTAAGTGACATTCTGCACTACATGTATGATGCATGATTAGAACTCAGAATAAGTATTATCATGCAGACTCTGACAGTATTTAAGGATTTTTTGGTCATAACCTTCCTTCCTGTGAAAAATTCTTAATGAATTTTACTTATGTAGCTTATGTATGAAGTTTATTAAACAGATCTGACTCATTTCATTATTTCTATTCTTCCAATGCAGTAACATATGTATCAATGGAGGTGTGAATAAATGAAAATAAATCATATGTCTGTAGAAATTATCATTCTGTGAGAACATATTTCACTTGTTTACATTTTATCGCAGTTGTCGCTTGTGCTGAAAATTCATTCGCAAAGCTAGAATTAGTCTATTCTTGAAAAATCAGCTTTAACACCCTTTACCGCAAAGTCTGTAGATACTATAATTGACTGCGGTCAGCTGGTGCAAATAATGTTAAGTCATATAAAATGAAAAAACAACATTCTCTGACTTATTTCTACATTTTAGATGCATAATGCTACCTTTTTACTCATATTTTAAAGTATTGAGTGTAAAAAATAACCTATTGTTAATTTTTACACAGAAATCTGTGAAAAATAATGTAAATTCTAATTCTAATTTTAAAATTGTGTGTTTTCTAACAAAAAGTTAATAAAATCACATATTCTGTTGAAATATGCCTTTTAAGAATGAAAAATATCTTTAACAAGGATTTAAATGATTTTTCATAATCACCTTCAAGGTATCACACCGGTAATTGTTTTCATTATATAATTCTATATAGCATAAAAAATCGTTAAAAATCAGGTATTTGTTTACATGAAAAAATATTTAGCAGGAGGTGTTAAACATTACCTGTCACATTAGCTGACACCAAAAAACAGGGTACCCACACGGCATTTTCGGACTTTTTCCATCTGCAAACAGGGCTACCCTCAAATCCACGTGTTTTCACTTTGTTTATAAACACCTCGAGTGCATCACAGGAAGTAGCCTCCTATGCCCTGAAAAAAATAGTTCCTGTCAAAAACCTTTATTTATTCACAAAGTACATAAAATTTACTAGGCACAGGTACCAAAGTTGTAAAAATGGCTTGGAATAAAATAGAAAAACGCCTCAAAAGAAAAGAAAAATAATTTTATATATATGGACCTACATTTGACTAAGTTCATTTTGATTGGTCAATTACCGGTGTGATACCTTCATATAATGTTAGGTTCATTTTTGTGATGGGCATTATCAGGGAATGTTGATCAGTATATGTCTTAAAATTGACCAAAGAACGCAATTAAGGACACATTATTCAAACATTTTTTTTCTCGAAAATATGAATAAGAGGGATCTTTATAGCAAAGAGTTTTTAATTGGTTATAAAATGCAACAATTAAATTGAATAAATTTTGATTTCTTTTTAATTTCTTTTAGTTTCAGAAACAAGAGAAGAAGAGTTTGGTAAAAAGATCAGATCGTGCATGATATGTAAAGAACAGTTTCTAAACGAGTCTGCTTTCAAGAGACACCTTTTTGAAGAGAAATATCATGGAAGACCATGTTTATGTTGGGATTGTGGGCGTGAGTTCAGTTCTGTGAACGCCCTCAAGTATCACGTGACAGCTGTCCATGGACAACAGTCCAACTTCAAGTGTCCAATCTGTTACAAACGGTTTCCATACCAAAGTTTTCTGAAAAAACACATACTTTCACACAACGAAAAAGCTGGATTTATTTGTAAACGTTGTGGAAAGGCACTTAAAACAAAGGAATCTTTAGGATACCACTTGAAGAATGTTTGTAAAGTTAGCATTTCTGAGTTGAAATGAAAATGTATGTTGGTGAAGAGTTAATAAACAATCTTTTCACGATTTTCTTTGAGAAAAATATCTTCTTGAATTTGGACAATTTCGGAATAATCTGTAGTCATAGAGCACAAAAAATGTCAATAACTTGTAGTTGTGGTCCGCCGCGCTTTTGGTGTATTTATGACTGGGTGACAGTATTTATGGCATATTGTAACTGTTTTATTCGTTTATCCTGACTTGACTGTCCATCATATAAGAAACTATAAATTATTGAAAAAATAAATCATTCTACAAAGATTAAGCTTCTTAAAACTGCATCAAACTTCAAGATCGAGGCCTTAAGGTCAGATATAATACAATCCGAAAGGTGTTTTTGCAAGTAAAGGGGAAAAAGTTCCACGGATAGAAAATTGTGGCCAAAATTTACATTTGTGATAAGTATGTAAAATTTACAGATCAATGTCATATATTAAAAGATTGTTTACCTTTCTGAAAGATTGTTTACCTTTCTGAAAGGTGTTGTTATTCACTGTAGGAAAGCTGATGACCGTAATATATAGTACGGTCATCAAAACATGTCGGCCGAGGTCGTCGGTAAGAATTTTTAAGTCATGATTTCAAACATTTGCTAGCTTATCTAATGTAAATTCTTGCAAAATTTGAATGTACGCTCATGACAACTTCCTATTGGTTATTATAACTAACGTACGTAATACAAACAAAAAACGGATGCTTTAATTGATACTGGTATATATTTTTTGACTGATTTTGATTTGAAATGATTGACATAAATAATAAATCTCTGAAAATACAAAGATACAAGACTTTGCTTTGCTTTCTATATAATTCCATACAAAATTTTGCACAAATTTTGAACCTTATAATTATGACAGAATCTTACAAAATTCTTCCAATACACTCGGTAAACATTACTCAGGTTACCAATTTAAATGTAAATCTATGAAAAATATTGCTGATTTCTGAAAAAAAAAGTTTGTGTTATTTAACCTTAAGAAAATAAATCTGTAGTAGTCAAAGTTTTTGACAATAATGATCGTAACAAACACACTCAACAAAGCAGGTGATGACTGTAATATAATTATAGAGATGGTCGTAGTACATGTACAAAATCAATTGATACGTATAATATCTTATTTTACATCAGTTCTACTTGTTCTGTTAAAGTTAGATTTTGACAGGGACCTATATACGAATTAGTATGGAGGTCATAAAAAAGAACTAATTAATAAAAACGTTTTAAAATGATTTAATAATTATACCCCCCGCAAACGAAGTTTAGGGGGGGTATATTGGAATCACCATGTCCGTCTGTCCGTCTGTCCGTCTGTCTGTCTGTCTGTAGACGATATTTTGTCCGGACCATAACTCAGAAACTATTCGAAGGATTTGTCTGAAAATTTGTACACATATTATTCACCATATGAAGTTGTGCACCTGATATTTTCATCTTGATTGGATTATTATTTTGAATTTTACAGGTGTTTTTTCATTTTTATTTTGTGGTTTTGTCTAGACCGTTTCTCAGAAACTATTGCAAGGATTAATCTGAAAATTTGTACACTTATTATTCACCATATGAAGGTGTGCACCTGGAATTTTCAACTCTTTTTGTTAATTTTTTTGCATTTTACAGGTTTTTTTTATTTTTATTGACTTGTTCATTTTGGGTTCATGTATATGGTTTGAGATATAGAATCTAGAATATCTGTTCAAAAATACAACAGCTTAAAACTACTCATAAAAACTTTAAAAAAGAAACATCTAGAATGTTAAAAACAATTTTTACATTGCACAGAAGATAATGTTATTTCATTTGTCTCCTGGGAATAATGACTGGACATGCATCCAGTTAAAGATAAATTAATGAGTTTGGTGTTGGAAGTTGTTAAGGCGTATCTCTTATCAAGTGTGTGTTATCTATCTCCAGGGAATAAGGCACAAGAATTAAAGATCTCTCTTCTCTTATTCTCTTAATTGTAATTTATTGTCTTTCAAAGCACTTCATTACTGGATGACCAGCTCTTTCTTTTCAAAATGCATTTCAAATTGATATATCAAGATTAATTTGATTTTTTATAATGGTTTTTTTCAACAATCAGTTTGCAGAGTGACATAACACATAATTGCAATATATTTTTTTAATGCAGTAATAAAAAAAATAAAATGAAAAAATTAAAACAAAATGTTACAATGGAATTACAATGTATTAGTTTTGATGTTTCATTTGGATGCACCTTTGTTTCATTCATTAAGAAACATGATGAGCAATTGTATTTCACTGCAAATTTTTGTAAGTAAATTGTGAACACCTCTAGATCCATAAAGTATTTTTGAATTGGCACCTTCTCTGAAAAACCCAGCGGGGGGTATTTGTCCCTATTGGACAGTTCTAGTTTTATTTTGTACTTTCACCTTCACCCATGTTCGTTGGATGTACATGTACAGTCGTTAATCTCTTAGATGGAAATAAGCCAATGGTCAGTACTGAATTATATATTTTTGAAGTTTTGTCAAAGTTAATTTGATAAAAAAAATATATAGGCCTATACATTCTGTGTATATTTGCTTGTTCATAATAGTTTCTATTTATAAGTATGTCTGTGCATACAAGTTACAACTGCATGCAATGAATGTGGATTTTATGTAATTATGATAATAATCTATTATAAGTTTCTTTATATAATTCAGGATACATCAAATATAATTAATAGGGGTAAATTGGCATAAGTTAATCTAGTGTTTTTTAATTCATTTGAGACAGGGAGAAAAAGGGTGTGTGTTAATGTAACGACAGTTATTTAGTAGACATTCAATGGAAGAATTATACACGAGTTAATTTCTCAGAAAATCAATTTGCAGCTCCTATTTATAATGAAAGCAAAATGTTTTCTACACTAGATATAACATTCTGGCATACTGTTATTTTGTTACATGTCTACAAGGTTTCTTTTAATTTAATTTAGTTTTATTATGCCAAACCGCATTATAATTATTTTTAATTTCTTTATTTTACTAACAAAATTTTTTACAATATATTTGATGGGTGTCCGGTAAAATCGTTGACAAGCTGTGTAGTGTGAAAAATAATCATCACTGTGTTCTGAAATTTTTCCTATTTATTACTTCATATGTTATGAATAAACATAACAAATTTCAAATAGATATATGCATAAATAAACAAATTATGAGATTTTTTGTTATATATTGTATCGCCTTATGGCGCATGGATGATAATGTCAAAAGCAGCACCATGTTTCATTTTTGCTAAAAATAAAGTTGGACAAGTCCCTTTTAAATTTATGAATTTCATTGATGCACATACTTCGGTCTACATAAACAGTTGAGGAACCAATCTGACAACACATATGAAGATTTAATAGTTAGTTACGGACAATATTCTCACCATTGTCCAACTAATAGACGAACATATCGAAGGTCGGCAATGACAGCGTCTTTTGCTAATACAATAGCAGTTTGTCCGTTAAGGTGTCATTTCAACCTCCAAATCAAACTAAACTGCTATCAGGTGCATGCGCCGTAACGTCGTAACGTCGTCAAACGTTGCCATCTTTCGTGTATTGTGTTTACCACTTTCCCATTTCGAATTCTCTGGAAACTGCCAAAAAAAATACCAAATGCACTGACAGTTTTAAAAAGACGACAAAATAGATTGTGAAATCGAATAGGAATAATTTTTATCCCAATCTTATGCATTTAAAACTTGTATTTCGAATTAATACTTGTTTACTGTATTCTCTAATAAAACCTTGATTTTTTTTTTTGGCAGTGCGCCGTAAGACCGTACCATGTGCACATTCAAGCATAATAAAATCTTTATTTTTTGTTTATAGATTACCAAAAAAATATAATGCACTTAAATATGATAAATAAACATTTACTGAAAATTTCAACTTAGTGCGTCCATTACTTTTAAGAAAAACGCCTTGTCCACAATTTTACCGGACAACCCTTGTGTTATAAGACTTGTTTGTTTGCCACTACACTTATAGTAAAAATTAACCACGATTTTTTTTTTAAATTGAAGAATTAAAAAAAAATATTTAAATATGCACTAGGTAGTGATTCTCATACAGAACTTCGCTATAATTTACAGAAATACCTGGTAATGATGGTTCGGAATTGAAGCTTGATCCGGACCCACCAGTGGCAACAACTGCACCTAGGAAAGGAGGTACGATATTCATTTTAGATATAAATATATGTTAGGTAGCACATGTACTAAATGTATTGTCAACTCAAGGGCTAAAACTTAGATTAAATAATTTTCATTTTTTCTTCAAAAACATCATATATTTTAATGTTTTTTTTTTTACTATTATGGTACTTAGACATTTATAAACTCAGAACAAAATTGCCTTTTTTATAAATCTGATCTGCTTTTGAAATGCAAAAAACCACTGAGCATATATCAACTCTAATTCCTGTATATAAATGTCAAGCATGATAGGACCGTAAAAACAACTACGAGATATATATTCAAGAGTTCAAGATATCCTGTGTGTAATATTTAAGGAATAGTCCATTGGGAATTCAAAACCCCTGTAATATTTTCATAGTACTTGAAATATCAGTGTTTGAGATACTACGAAATAAATTCGTATCTTCAATACAAATGCAAAATTTATAGAGTTACCAAACTTTGTTGAGGATTATTTTTCAAGTTGAAATATTATGGATAATGTATAGATATCTTACATGGAATTATATTTCATATTAAATTTTTTTATATATACTTTTAGGCGGATATTGTTGTGACCTATGTGGTAAACTGTATAAATCAAGCCAAATGCTAGTCATGCACAAGACAATAGCACATAACATTGGAGACTATCCTTACAAGTGTAATCAGTGTAATAAAGGATTTTTCAAAAAAGCAATGCACAAAAATCACATCCTGAAACATTATGGGGTGAGTAAGAACAAACTGAAAATATCTTCATTTGTAGTTATCAACCTATAATTTTTTTAGCCGGTAGTTTGGTTGATATACTTTTAGCTCATCTAAGCCGAAGGCTCAAGTGAGCTTTTCTGTTCACATTTTGTCCGTCGTCCGTCCGTCTGTCCATTTGTAAACCACTGGGCTGAAACTTATGTGGAAGCATCCTGGGGTAGTTTAGATTTCAAATTGTTCAAATCATGACCCCCAGGGTTAGGGCGAGGGCACAATAGGGAATCAAAGTTTTACATAGAAATACATAGGAAAAATCTTGATGAACATCTTCTCAAGAACCACTGGGCCAGAAAAGCTTAAACTTATGTGGAAGCATCCTGGGTAGTATAGAATTTAGATTATTAAAATCCTAACCCCAGGGGGTAGGGCGGGGCCACAATAAGGAATCAAATTTTTACATAGAAATATATAGAAAATTTTTTTGAAAATCTTCTCAAGAACCACTGGGCCAGAAAAGCTGAAACTTATGTGGAAGCATCCTGGGATAGTGTAGATTTTGCAAGGGGGAAATCTGGTAAAGAACAACATAGTCAAAGCTTCCCAGGTGAGCGGTATGACCCATGGGCCTCTTGTTATGTTTATTTTACTATTATTTTTTTTTGTTTTTGTTTTTTTAATTGTTTTTTTTTCTCTCGAAAAAAGTTTTTTGACTTTTTCTTAGATAACAAATAACTAAAAAAAAAGGAACTAAACATAAATAATCTACACTTGCGAAAAGTCTTTGAATGGGTTAAAAAACAAAAATAGAAAAGGAAAGAATTTCAATATCCTGGAAACTTAAAGTAACTCAGAATAACTGAAAAAAGTTTGGGTCTGGTACAATTTCAGATAGTCATTAGGCAACTGCAAAAAATATATATGTCTTATCTATTTCTTTTAACATGAAAAAGGTATAAATTTGTTCAATAACTTCATTAATTTTTTTTAGCACTGTCATTCATGGTTCAACTGAATATAAATAATTGACAGCCATATTACACTGACTTCATTGAATTTATATGTTGGTATTTTTTTTTTCTAGATCAAACAGTTTGAATGTCATAAGTGCCCAAGAGAGTTTACACACAAGAAAGACCTAGTGATCCATCTGAAAGCTGTCCATCTAAAACAGGAATTTGAATGCAAAGATTGTTTCAAATTATTTAAATATGAAAAGAGTCTAAGAAGACATGTTAAATCAATTCATGAATGTAAGTCATATAAATGTATGATCTGTGCTAAAGATTTTAAATATGAAAGTAACTACAAGAGACACTTAAAGAAGAAACATTCCCAGTAATGGTCATGTTCATTCATGTGTGACGAAGCCTAATAATGTTTGCTTTATGTAACTGGTTGATTGCCAAACTTTATCCGTTCTTTGCGGAAGAAATATAATAGAAAGCTGAGTAATTCATACAGCATATATGTAAACAATGGGATAAATATGTATTTTACAGTCACATGTGTATTAAATAATAAATCTTTCACTTTAGTATGGTTATTGGAGCTTCTGTTTTTTGGAAGGCTATGGTCTACATAATCATCATCAAGTCCATATCGTACGAGGGTTGATCCAAAAGTAATGTCACTACTTCGATAAAATTGCTACTAGTCGACGTAAATCAACGAAACTGTACATGATTGAAGCTATAATTTTTACAAATCAGTCCTGAAAAATTCAAATTAATATGATTCATACTTTTCAAAATATCAAATTATATACAAAGTGCAATTACGGTAGTCGCCGCACCTAAATAACGTCGAATGACGGATACGCGCCGTCATACTCTTGAACGCTGCCCCCTTCGTTTCATTAATAAATATTTGAGATTTACGAACACATTCACGTATATTTCTCTCTTTATAAGAATTATTTGCATCCATTGTAAACTCACTCTATACATAATTTAATCCTTTATCAAGTTTTTTTAATATTACCATAAGACAAGCTTTAAGTTTCTCATATCGCTGTAACTTAACCGTCTCTTTTTTGGACAACGTCAGACACCATTGAACGTTTCCGCCCGACCTCCCTTTATTGGCCTTTCTGTCCTTTGTTGATCATTCAGTGACCCATGACCCACTAAAAATCGCTTAAACCATCTATAAACAAGTGTCTTATTTGCATTATCTCCTCTGTGTGTGTCTGATTAATTATCGTTAGTTTATATAGGCGATTTCCCTATTTTGTAGCAAAAATGCATCACAGCTCTTTTCAGCGGTTATTCTCTATTTCGACATTTCCTTTGTTTTAAAACAGCAGATTAAAACAACAATGTTTATGATCAAAAAGCAATGAAGTCATTTTATTTTCAACTGAAGATTACAAATTGTCGAAAAATTTTGTCTTTGAAATTATTAGGCGATTAGCGTTTTTATTTTTGGATGCTTTTTAATGTGTTTGTCTTTCCTCATTCTAACAATTTACACTTTAAAACATGACGTTTAGTTGTGACGCGGCGACACCCCCTATGTTGAATATTTTAAACGTCTATAAAATAAATTTCATAAAACATTTTTCAATGAAAATTTCAATTTTGATTTAATTTATGTTTATGCATCTTTTATTATATAATAATTGATAATAAGACGTCAAATATTAAAAATATTGACACAGTGACATTACTTTTGGATCAACCCTCGTATATGTGGTAAAATCCTTTCTTTATTTGGGTTTTGGTAAATTCGAACACCAGATGCTTCTCTCCCAGGCAGACCAAATGTTGTATGGGGCCACTCTTTTGTTTAGGTATTTTTAGCTCTTCTTAGCCAAAGGCTCAAAGAGCTAATGTTATGGCCATTTGTGCGGTGTGCGTCGTGCGGTGTGCGTTAACTTTATAGAAAATGGGCCATAACTCAAGAACGCCTTGGCCAATCAGTGTCAAATTTGTCACAGGGTATCGTTGGCCCAAGGGCTACCATTTATACTAAAATAAGGGTTGTGACCCTTAAACAAGGGGAGATAATCAGGAAAACAAAACCAAAAGTACTGGTTGCTAAAAAATCTTCTTCTCCAGAACCACCAGGCAGATTTTCACCAAACTTACATACAAGGATCAGAATATGTTGAAGATGAAAAATTGTTCAAGGCATGACCCTGGGGCAAAGGGCGTGGTCTCAAGGTCACTTCAAATTTGACCTTAATTTACAATTGATAAAAACGTTTATATTTTGCTTACTATAAGGACTAGGATCATCAAATCTTGTAAGTTGATGCATCTTAAGACTTCACATCATGTTAAATCAAAATTAGGTCACAGTGACCTACTTTTTTAATTTTGCGGGCGTTTGTTTTCAAATTGATATATTGGACACTTTAAGGCCTATGATCATCAAACTTTGTTAGTTGATGCATCTTGGGTCCTTGAACAACATCAACTTAAAAGTAGGTCACCTTGACCTACTTTTTGAACTTTATGACTTATCCTTTTTAAAACATTTAATCCCATTATTGCAGACACTGAGAGGGTTAGAATCATCAAATCTTGTTAATTGCTGCATCTTGGGACCTTAAAACATATTTATGAAAAAGTAGGTCACTGTGACCTACTTATTGAATTTTGCAGGCATATATTTTCATATTGTTTAAAAGGCATATTTTGATTACCTTCAGACCTACGATCATCAAACTTGGTCAGCAGATGCGTCTTGGGACTTTGAAAAATGTTGACTAAAATGTAGGTCACGGTGACCTACTTTTGACATTTTATGGCTTTATTTAAGTATCTTCGGTATTTATTGCCTAAGAATCATCAAACTTTGTGAGTTGATGCATCTTGGGTTTTCGGAGAGTGACGACCAAAAAGTAGGTCACGGTGACCTACTTTTGACATTTTATAGCTTTATTTAAGTATTTTAGGTATTTATAAGCTTAGAATCATCAAACTTTGTGAGTTGATGCATCTTGGGTTTTCGGAGAGTGACGACCAAAAAGTAGGTCATGGTGACCTAATTTTGACATTTTATAGCTTTATTTTAGCATCTTAGGTATTAATAAGCTTAGAATCATCAAACTTTGTGAGTTGATGCATCTTGGGTTTTTGGAGAGTGACGACCAAAAAGTAGGTCATGGTGACCTACTTTTGACATTTTATAGCTTTATTTAAGTATCTTAGGTATTTATAAGCTTAGAATCATCAAACTTTGTGAGTTGATGCATCTTGGGTTTTCGGAGAGTGATGACCAAAAAGTAGGTCATGATGACCTACTTTTGAATATCTCGGATACATATTGGCTGAGAATCATCAAACTTTGTCAGTTGATGTATTTTGGCCTTTCGAAATCGCCTACTAAAAATTAGGTCACAGTGACCTACTTTTAACATTTTATGGCTATAATTAAGTATCTCCAGTACTTATTGGCTTGGAATAATCAAACTTTGTCAGTTGATGCATTTTGGTTTTTCCAAGAATGTAGATGAAAAAGTAGGTCAAAGTGACTTACTTTTGACTATCTCACATACTTATTGGCTTAGAATCTTCAATCTTTGTCTATTAATACATCTTGAGTCCTCAGAAAACTTCAATCTTAAAGTAGGTCATTGTGACCTGCTTATGGTTTTTTTTATAGCTTTATTAAAATATCTTCAGTTATAATTGGCTAAGAATCATCAAATTTTGTCAGTTGATGCAACTTGGCTCTTAGAATACTTAGGTTTAGAGGCTTCAAATAGAAGTGATAGGTTGTACAATTTATCAGAAGAGCGATTCAAGGCCCTTGGGCCTCTTGTTGATTTTCTTTCAGGTAAATCAAAATAATGTGATTTCTAAATTGACGAGCTTTAAATTGGCAAAGTCTTTATACCACCAATATCAGACATCTCATTTGCATAATAGTTTGAAATAATAACTAGTATACTGTTATTATATTTACCCGAGCATGATGTGATTTTCCTTTTCCGAAGTCTCAGTGCTTTCTGCTGGAGGAGATGGTGTTGCTAAATGCATCTGGTGAACAGGATAAACTCTCTTCTTATGAGTAGTTTCATGTGAATCAGTCTGTAATTCAAAAGGCTTGAGTATTTTTCAATATTCACTGGAATTGTTCTCAGAAACTAGGAGTAGCATTTAATAATAATAAATTTATTCTGAAGAATACTTACAATTAACAGTCTTTATCAGTTTAATAGTTTAATATTTAATCATGTTGGGTTTAAGCGTTTATGAGCTATGAAACTATGCAAACAGCAGATCCAAGGGCTGTTGAAACATCTTTTGGTCGCAACACACCGCTTCCTTTTAGATCGTAATCCTTAATATGCGATTTTAAACATGTTACCTATAATATTTCATATAACACATATTAATTTACTCTTTAAGTAAAAAGTGTTTAAGTGTTTTTGTTACC